CTTTGTAAACAATTTTATTAAAAATACCCACTCCTGAAAGTTATTTCATTAATGGAGCTAAGTGCAGTGGTAGAAAAATTCCTTGTGGGTGTGATCACTAGCAGTGCTCATCACATAGACAACCCACACAGGCTCGAGCAGGGCCCCAGAGAAAGCCAAATGCTGCCACTGCAGTGAAGATAAATGCCAAATTCCCCAAAGAAATGTGAGTGGAGTTGACAAAAAGCTTCTTAAACCACTCCTGCTCCGTTTGCTGTAACAAAGCACATTAACTGTGTCAATTAGGCTGTGGCAAAATCAGTGCAAAGGGAGGGGGTGATTTAAGGTTTTGCATGCATTTAGTTGGGCAAAGATCCCACCAGATGAACCAATCAGTCCAAGTCTGCTAGAAATGGGGAAACCAGTCACACATTTCACAGTTTCTGGCTTCTTTAGGAAATGTCTTCCACTGAAGGGTGCAAAAGCTTGGGGTATGGTAAAATCAAGATTCTGACATTTGAGCTAGTTGCTGGTATGTTGGCTCTTTATTAACAATTCCTATCATGGTTAAGATCTGCTCTTTATCCTGGCAGACCACGAAAAATTTATAATGCTGGTTCTAAAAAGGTTCAAAAGCTAGGTAAGGACCATGAATGCAATTTTACATAGGAAGGAATCATGTGTAGCTAAGGATGTAATTACCACAACCTTTTGAGATAATTCCTAACATCTGAGCAAGGGTCCTCAACAGAATTCAAATAGAATTTGGGGATTTTCCAAACAGCTCTCTGACTGCATAAAGCCACAAGGACCCTTAGCAACATCACCATTTCTGGAAAACAGCAATGACAGCTCAGAAATCAGTGCTCCAACAGGCTTTTCTAGTGCTTCAATCTGTTCTTAGGACTATTCCAAGAACAGAAAATATGGTTATTCCTGGACTCCCCAAATGTAGAGGAATCACATGAGAAGCAGGAACTGGACATGGACCAGATGAGCTGATTTAAACCAAGAGGGGTGCACGGATGAAATGGAGCTCTGGATGTGCTGAAAATTCATAGGCAAGAAAAAACAAACAAACAAAAAACCAACAAACCCCAAAAATAGTTGGTAGGCAAATAAATCACAGAATCATAGAATACCCTGAGTTGGAAGGGGCCCACAGGGATCATCAAGTCCAGCTCCTGGCCCTGCACAGGACAGCCCCGAGAATCCCACATCCCAGTTCAACTTCCCCAAAGAAATCTATGGTTAATCCAATAAAAATATCATATGGAGTTGATGGCAGATGGTGCAACTCCTCAGACTATCTGCTGTTTCCTAACAGTTATTTTTCTCCTCCTCACAACAGGTGTGTCACAGCCTAATGCAAACAGATGTACATCCAACAATAAAAACAAATGCCAACCACTGTTACCTCAGGCTGGATTCTTTTATTTCTTCTCACTCGTAAACAAGAGTTACTGAAGAGGCTGAAATCACAGCAGCTCTCACTGTTTCCTTCTTTCTTTCCCCACCATGGCACAGCTCCGTGTCTTACATCTGCCTCCATTAAATTGTCCTTTTTGTCATTTGAACCTGGCACTAAAGTTAATCTGATCCAACCCGTGCCCCTCTAGGGCTAAAAGCATGGGCTGATGGATGGGTTTTGTGGGTGAGGTGGCTGCAATCAAGTCCCATGTTGTTTTACCTCGTTCCCCAGCACTGGCACAGACCAAATGACACCAAACTGAACTGTGGATGGCAGAGGAGCTGCTGACGTGCTGAGAAATCTTTGAGGACTCAGCACGAGCACAACATGTTTGTCAGTTGGGCTCAGCAGGGTTGCAATCCATCCCTGGAGGGTCATTTGCTTTCCTTTCCTTTCCTCTTTTATTTATTTTTTTTTAATTCTTCTTCAAAGGACACAGCTTTACCTCTCCTGCTATAAGCATTACCTGTCTAACTAAGGTAATTCAAAGGTAATTCAGAGTATTTAGACCCACAGCTCCCCCTTAGCCCCCCAAAATTACTTGCAGTCTTGGAGTGAGTGCTTCTAGGTAGTCCTGTCTCCTTTTACATTTTAATCCTCCATGAAACCCTTATATATTAACCATCAGCAAAACGCCTACAGCAGGAGCAGCCTTAGTTTGGAATATTAAGGGAACAGACTTCAGTCATGTTTTACTCACCTCACCATAATCTATTTTTATACTCCTGACAGACTCCATGGGGAAGTAGGTAACACTTAGTCTCAAGTCATCATTTTCTTTACTCTCTTTGCATATGAGAAAGCAATTCATGTTTCATAAGAGGCAGAAAAATGCAGACACGATCTTAACCAAAGAGAAAGAAAGATTTTAAAAAACAGAGGTCCCCTGGTGTCCCCTGGATGAGAGCAGGAGAAAGTGGCCAGCAGTGAACCACTGCCTTTCTGATGTGCCTGAGAGGGAGGTCCCCCCTGACCCTCTTTTTCTCGCATGTTCAACCAGAGAGTGCAAAACAGCAGCATCACCAGGGCAGTGATAAATCATATCCCACGTTATTGAAACACACATTTGCTCACAAATTATTTTTTTGTTCCAGAGGAGCTACTGCAGTATGTGCTGGGTAACGTGTCTCAGGAGGGAGAGGGATGGAAATTCGGGAGTCAGGCAGCGTTCCCACTTGGGAACAGGCTGGCTGTGATGTGTGCAGGACAGAAGGCTTCCCATCTCTGCAATAACACACCTCCCCACTCTTTCGGGAGCAGCTGGAAAAATCTGCCTCCGAGTTCCTCTGGCAAGAAAGACAAATGTGAGCAAATGAGGAAAGGGGGAGAGGGAGCTGCTCTCAGTGCAGACATGCTCCCCCATGTTCCAGAGGGAACACAGTTCAGCACAGAATATGTGCTCTATTATCACTTCTCATCACGACCTCACTGGGGTAATGAAGACATAGAGCACAGAGGTGATGAATGAGGAGGATCAGACTTTCTGTGCACAGCTCCATAAACCAGAGGTGGAAAACACACCCCATGCAGACTTTTTCTTAAAATGATCATTTCCAAACCCATTCAGTGCTACATCTCTGTCTTGCTGATATAAATATTCCCAGGACCTTTGGCAGCTTAGGACCCTTTGCAGGTGTCCTAAATGCAGCCAGCTCTTGGGAAATAAATCTCATATCTGCCTTTGCTCTAGGGCCACGTTTCACCCTTCCTAGGAAGGGCTTTGTGCTGTTTTGTCTTCCCAGGGGTCTGTCAGAAGGACAGGTGCAATGCGTGGGGGCAGCCAGGCAAGGCACAGGAGCACGGAGATCCATCCACACGGCAGGAAAATGAGCTTGGAAGTGTTCATTTAATGATCTTTCTCTCGAGCACAGCAGCTGGCCTGGCTTCCCAAACCCTGCAGGCTGGCAGTGGCTTCGTGGTTCCTCCTGCACAGCCATGTGAGCACAGCCAAAGGGAACATATTTCATAAGGACACTGAATCCTACGGAAAATCAGGGTCTAACACTTTTACAGATTTCAAAAACCCTGCAAAGATCTCACAGTACAGGCATTTTCTCTGATGGTCTCCAGCTCATGAGATTGAAATAGGGGTCTGCAAAAGGAGAGATGATTACCAAAATTATTCTCTTTTAAGTCTGGAATGCTATAAGCAACCATAACGAAGCATAAATTTTCACACTATTATTAGTCCCTTCCCTATCAAAATGCATTAGAGCTGTGCTGTTGATACACTTGGACAAGAGCTGCATGTTAAATTTCCTTTTGTTTTTCTGTTCTAGATGTTTTGCTCCCAAATGTCACCAAACCCTTTGAGATGCAAATACAAATCATAGCCACACAGCTCCACCTCACTGAAATGATAACCTGATGTTGTTGTGCCCTCTAATGTTGATTCCCTGCATAGTTACAGACTTTTAGTATTCTTCATTATTCTTAAGATAGGAATTCCTAAAAAAAAATTCTTAAAAATACTACCAGTATCCTTTCAAACTATTAATATAATTCTTTAAAAAGTGCACCTGTCTTCTAAACTTCCTGCTGAGATGGAGTTCACAAGGTATTACTTAGAGAGCTGCCTGATTATAACCCTGTAGAATCCTTCAGTTCAATGAATCTTGCCAAATAATATAATAAGGGAAAGATTTACTAGAAGTAAAAAAATGTGAAACATCTAAAGAAACCTCTCGTGTTCAAGGAGGGAAACAGAAAGGTAACTGAGCAGATAAATATCTGGTTTTGTGTTCAATCAGGTCCACTTTTTAATATGATTTCTTTGTTCATCGGGGTCTTATAACTTTTAATGACATCACAGCTATGATCACCTTGTCCTAAAGGGCTGTCATTACAAAAAAGAATTTGGTGAGAGGAACTGAGAGGCCTGAGCATTAAACAGAGAGAAGCTTAAAGCCTGATCAACTGGCACTGAGTGTAAAAGACACTGAGTGTAAAAGCTACATATTTGTTAGTGTATTCAAGTCCTTTCATGCTCCTATTCAGCCAGGCCTAGAGAAAATTAACCTTTAACTATTGAATCATATTCAAGAACAATTAAAATAAAATAAAAAAGAACCAAATGGTGCGGAAAGCCCAAAATACAAGGAAATGAAATTTCAGATTTTTCAGTACCCCAAAAATACCACATCCACACATGAGTGGAGATGGCCCAGTAATTCTTGGTAAGCAGCAGGACAAAGTGTTTTAAAATGCAAAGGGCAGGGGTTTGCCCAGAGCCTCAGAGGAAGTGGCAACACGGGGTTCTTCAGCTTTGTGGTTTGCACTGATAACGTTACTGAGTTGAGACAACAAGAAGCGACCAGGCATGAAACACAGATTACATTTAGTCTGTTTACAGCAAATTACACCCAACCCTCTCATTGAAAATTAAAGACAATGGTCCTCAAAGAAGCCTGAGGAGCTCCAACCAAAATCCTCGCTGTCTGAGCCCAGCTAATGCTGCTGACTTCCAGTGAGGGCACACACAGGCAAAAATACTTGACAGACTGCTGCCTAAAAGTGATTCTCAAAATTAATGAAGTCAAATCATAAAATGAGATTATATAAAGTATTTTATTTTAGTTTTTAAAAAAATACAACATTCTAAAAAAGCATATTTCCTGTCATACATACTGCTGTCTAGGCTATTTTATTGCCAAGAGTTTGGATATTAGAGGACTAAAATTATCACAAACCAACATCTGTGAATATAACACATGAAAAAGCTGGTGACCCAGATGCCACCTGGATTAAATAACACAATTATTCGGCAGCACTTAAGGATGCCCAGCAAGATGCAGGATAAAAACTCATTACAACACCATCCATCAGCAAGAGTCCTCCAAAACGGATGATGCCACGGTGCTGTTTATAAGCAAAACACTCTCCACAGTCTTTTCCTTCGTGTGGCACCTTGCCACTGACCACTTAGCTGCTGGTGGCACTGGGGTGCAGTGGTTTGACTCTTGCCAGCCTGGAGAGGCCAAGTCTAAGGCAGTGAGTAGGTGACTTCACAGCAACGTACCTCCCAGAGGAATTACTGCTTCCTGATGGAGCTGAAAGGAAGTTTAAACCAAAAAATAGGTATAAGAGGTGTAGAGGGGAAAAAAAATAAATCATGTAAGCGTTGGCTTTCTATAGTTTTCCCAGCAGAACAAAAAAAACTATTCTAAAGATATTGCAGAGAGATCTGAACAACACAGAACATGAAAATCAGCCCAGTCCCCAGGAATCCACCCCTTTGGAATGGTGCACAGTTCCTAATTAACCAGAGAGACACTGGAGCAACACTGCCCATAAAAAACTGCTCCCAGTGTACTGTGGGTTTTCAGGTGCTCCACAGAGAATCACACAACACAATTCCAAGCGGGAAAGGAAGGCTTGAGGGAAAGGAGCCAAGCAGAGAGAACCACTGAGTAAATTAGAAGGAAAATCAAAGCAAGCAGCAGGAGTCAAGAGCAGCAGCATGTTCAAACACCTGGAAAAATAAAGCTTCCAAGCACTTGCTTTACTAGAGCAATTAAAACTCTCAAACATTTTTATAATATTATTTGTTTTGGATAGATAATTAAGAAGCATGTAACAGGGATAAAAAAAGCTCTAAATAAGAGAAAAATGGACATAAAACAATCTCTTGATCCACACTCTGGGAAATATTTCATTAACCTCTCCTCCCCAGATAAAGGAGCTGAAGATAACGCTGCAAAAGAAGCACAGAGAAAGCTTTTCATCCTTTCTCTCTGTTTTAATCTTAAATTTGTCAAAAGAAAACCTTTCTTTATAAAAAGGCAGGCATTTTGCTGAAGTACTTTGTCTTTTTTTTGTTTGCTTTCAGGGGAGAATGCTAAAAACTCAAGTCAGCTCACGGATCTGTTTACAGTTCCAACCTCACACGTACCTGGGGGTGTCCATTTAGGCTTTGTGTGTGTTACAGGACTTGATGCAAGCAGAGGCCTCCCAACTGGCTCTGAGGATGTCATCCTTTGCCTTGGCTCAGGTTTCTGTTCCATTGTCCACGAAGGAGAAACTACAGGTGATGCTTGGTTGGAAAATAAAAGGGAAGACACTCTTTAGCAGAAAAACCATTATGCAAGGTGACAGACCAGCACAAGCTCTCTGCAGAAACAGCAGATACGGTACCAAACTGTCCCATCTTTGAGCAGTAAATATTTATACAGACATGTCACCCACTGGGGAATGACTGAGACATGGAGGAGCTTGGTTTTCTAAGAGTTGAGAACTGGAGGAAAGAAAGAAAGGAAGAAAGGAAGAAAGGAAGAAGGGAGCCTGTTTACTTTTTTTAAAAAGCTTAAACTGAAACCACCAACACCTCATCCTCCAGAGCCTTCACGTTGATGCAAACCCCAGAAAACCACCGGAAAAATGAACAGAGGCTCTTTAAAAAGATGAAAGCTCGCTGGACAAGGAGGGCAGAAGAAATTTGTCCTGACATACAAATGCAGGGAAGCTGTGGAATGTTGCCACTCTGGGGTCTGTGTAAGAATGAGATGCAATTGTTTAAATTTAGTGTGAAAGTGCAATTGGGTTGTCAGTGGCATTAGAGGTTAAATCAGTAAGGGAAGGGGAGGGAAAACACAGTGGAAGCAGCAGGAATTTCACTGAAAATACAAACTAAATGTAAGAAATCACTTTCAAAGCACATTTAAGGAGAGGGTTTTTGCAGAGAAGAACTTACTGGGGACAGACTCTGGCTCAGAGTCAGTGTCCTGCTCTCTGCCATCACTGTCAACCACTTTCTGCTGCGCTGCAACTCGGGATGTCACCGCTCCTTTCCCACCATCACCCTGGGGTGTGTCCTCATCCATCACCTGACTGAGACCTGGGAAACAGAAGGGGGTTCAAGTGACTGAAATTCACAGCAAATCTATTCTCCTCCTCAAAAAGAGGAGGCATTGGAGCTCCCAGAATTCACCTGTGGTGACACAGGAACACATCACTGGCACTTGCTTTCCTGGGGTTCTCATTGTACTCTTTTAACCAACCAAACTGCACTTTCTCCTTGTGACATTTCTCTGTAGTCAAGCTAACAGAAGGACCAAAACACAACTGGAAAAATGAGGTTTCCGATGGCCCAGCAAATGTTTATTTGATCCTTGGGCATTATGGACCCATTAAAAGAGTAGAGGGCAAGTGTAGCTTCTCAAAGAATTAAATAAAGTCAGCATCTAAAAATGTCGCTTGCCTGTTGTGTTTTCCAACTAACTTTTAGTGATGTATAACAGTCTCACTCAGCAATCCCCAGGTTTGCCCATTTTAAGACTCCTTAATGAAAAGTTTAATGCATTCCTCAATCTTTATTTAAGACAAAACCTCTTTTTTTCACATCAGTGAAAAGCAACAATAGACATAAAGAAGAGATAAGCTACTTAAATGCTCTTTCTGAAGGCAGAATATGGGAACAACTTACCTAAAATCTCACTGTCTGCACTGCAGTTGGAAAAAGAGGGACTCCTGTGTGTGTTTTCTGATTCAACACTCCTATCTGTTTTAAGATCCAGAAAAAAAAGGAAAAAAATATAAAATATTAACGTGCAAAAAACCACATGATAAAAAGCAGAAATATTAATAAATAAAAATAGCTACAGTTTTTATCTGTCTCTAATCAAACTGGATGGTTGGGAGATGTTACAGGAGAGGTACTTTTCTGAGAGAAAAAAACCCAAGAACATAAAAAGACAGGCACTACCTAGAAATTCTCACTTCCTTATCACGACATGCTTGAAATAAAGCATGGTTTTCCACCTATATCACTGTAAAATAAGTTGTCATGTTCAAGTTCACTACATGTGAATGAAGAGTGTTGCATTGAACTGCAGAGTAACCTTGTTCTTCTGAATTTTGCACCTCGAGGATATTTGCAGATTTTTCTTTGACGGACAGGGCTAAGGCAACTTCCAAATCTCTCTTATAGAGTTTGTCATCCAAGGATAACCTGGAAAAAAACCACCACAACCATGGTAAATAATAAAAGAATTAATAAAAACATGATAAAAGAATAATAAATAATAATTGGTATTAGCACAGAGCTGACCACAACATTTGTTACCTTTTGCTAAGTGTCTGTGTTTGTGACTGAGTCACTTCTTTTGGTGGCTTTTTTTGCTTCTCTTTTTTCTCCTTCTTCGGTTCCTTGGGCTGAGTTCTGGATTTTTTGCTGGAAGGTGCAAAGTCCTCATCTGTTGGGAAACAGCAACAAGCTCTCAGGAGTTTTCCTACACTCTTTCCATGTGGTCAAAAGAGGTCATTAGACCTAAATCTCAACACACACTGAAAATATATCACAGATAACCTTTTTTTTTTTTTATCTGAAATTAATTCTATTTTTAAAGAACCCAACTGTAAGTATGATACCCTTAAATGTATTTTAAATGAAAATTCAACAAGGCCTCTTTTACATATGCTTTTATTCCAGAGGCAATGACTTCAACTTTTATTAGCCATAGAGCTTCCATGTCCACTGTGCTACCAGATTTTCATATGCTGAGCATCAGTCTTTTTGATAAGATTTGAGTTCCTGGTGTTTTGGGGATTGTTCCCCTTAACGACTCCCCCTTTTAAAAATCTATGCTGCTCCCTTTTTTCTACCATTTTCATAGTGCCTCTTATTAGGAACAATTTTCAAATGTCATTAGAAGGCAATAAAACTGCCTTTCTTTCAGCTGAGGGCACTGAACATCACAGTGCAAAATAAGGAAAAAAAAATAATGATCCTCAGTATTCTCTAAATGATGGAGAACCTTAGCTAAGATCACAGAGGTTTTGGAGAATTTACGTTTTTCTTGATTGTCAGAAGTGGTCAAGAAACTAAGAAAAGTCATGCACCACCCACATTTAAACTAAGACTCTGCATTCCCTTCAGTGTTATTTATTTTTGCCCTCCCCTTCCCATTAATTCAAACTGTTCCCTGGATCCTGCAAACAGCATGGGAAAAAAAAAAAAAAAGCAAACAAAAGTGAAAACAAACAAACTCTGCCAGAAAAACGAGTAACATCCCTTAGGGCTTAGAAGGAAAGGAGGACCTTTGTCCTTCAGCTTGCAAAAAGACAGCTTGCAATCTATTTTTCTGGTCAATGATACTCCAAATTTGACTGCTCTGTCCTTACCACAAACCCACTGAGACACAGAGCTGTGGAGGAATGTTAGATCCGTGTAGAAATGATTCACATCTCCTCTATATTCACATTTACAGCCCTGTGAACTAATAATCAGGGGGTCCATGGAACTAATTGCCACTGAAAACTGGGGCAGGGAGAAAAGCAGATTTTACTGCAACAAGACAGAGTTTCCTGGCACGCTGCTCTTCTGCTCTGCTTTACAGCCATCACGTGCTCGTGGAACTGGAATATTCACCAGTGTGCCCAGATTCCTGCTGCTGAAAGAAGTAAGAGCTCAACAAGTTGTTCTTAACAATTATGCTTCATTAAAGATGATATTTTCACAGACTCACAAAAGCACAGAATATGCTGAGCTGGAAGCGACACAAGGGTCCCTCATGAGGAAGCTGCACAGCTGTGGGGTCTCCCCTCATCTCCCCTCCCACCCATTTTGGGTGGTTCCATCAGTTCCTGGCATGTCTGTTACGTGCAGGAACACACCACTTACCGTCATCTTCCAAATCCCCAAACTGAGAATAATCGACAACTTTCCTGTTCCTGTGGCAAAAAAAAAAAAAAAAAAAAAAATACACTATTAGTCCTTTACAACTGAGTGTCTTGACTTGCTAACAGTTGATTTTTGGGTAAAGCATGTTTTACAAGAAAAAAAAGCAATACATGTTCAGAGGTAGGGAATCACAAAATCACAGAATACCCTAAATTGGAAGGGACCCACAGTGATCATCCTGTCCAACTCCTGGCCCTGCACAGGGCACCCCAATAATCCCACCCTGTGCCTGAGTGCCCAAACCCTCCCTGAGCTCTGGCAGCCTTGGTGCTGTGCCCACTGCCCTGGGGAGCCTGTTCAGTGCCAACCACCCTCTGGGGGAAGAACCTCCTCATAATACCCAACCTAACCCTGCCCTGACACAGCCCCAGCCGTGCCCTTGGGTCTGTCACTGGTCACTGGAGAGAAGAGATAATGTGTATAACCAGTACTACTGCACAGAGCGGGGTTATTAGGAATAGCTTCTAGATTTTTTTAAAAATCTTAAAATAACAGCGCTTTTTGTTGTTGTCATATGGGAGCATCGCATTGTCCTTATGGACACACTGCCTGTGAGCTGCTACTGTGCAAGGGAAATTATTTATCTGTGAGGTCACTTTTAGACACTTGAAATGCTGCTGTCAGGGCAGGTGTTATTTGAGAGGACCAGAGGGGACACAGCCTGAGACTCCACACCCTCTCTGGGCAATCTGTTCAGGGCTGGGTCACTGCACAGCAAAGAAGTTCTTCCTCATGTC